TTTAATAAGAAAAATGTTTATTAAAATCATACACCTCATCTCCCTTTGGCTTAAGCCCTTCTGTTAGTTCACTTTTAAGAGGTAGAGAAACTAGTTAAAAGAAAATCCTGTAATGTTTACATTTTTGAATAGTCCTAAATCCGTAACTGCTGAAAAAGGAGATAAAATTAGCTCCTAATGAAACATTATCACCAACTACTAGACTAGTTTCTATTCTGAACTAGGGAGAGCTGACACCTTAGTGCTAACTTCCAGAGCTAATTCTTGTTGGTTTCTGTTCTCAGCTGACTATATCCAGTGCAGAAACAAATTTGCTTGTTCCAGCTTCGTTAGTTTTCCAGAAGTGAAAAATTGGATGGACTTGTCATCAAGTGGCCTTTCCCATCTGTTTGGTCTGGGAGGAAGTTTTCTTTCCTGCAAGTTAGTCATCTGGTCATTAGGTAACATGCAGTGAAAAAGCTGTAAAGTGGCAAGTCTGTGAATGGAAAGCAATACCCTTCTTGTGCAGCCGCAGTCATTCAGGGAGCCAGAGGAAGGGAAATTTTACTAATCTCTTAAAACTATCTTTGTATAACTTGCACAATTGTATACAGAGCTGCTGTTTTTCTGAAGTTTACTTCTTCCATATATGCACCCAAGGAGAAGTGCACAGAGGGCAAGGAGGGAGCCTTCCCTGGGTAGCTGGAGTGCAGGTCTAAAAAGTGCCCAGTCCCCAGCACCCGCCTCCCTTACGGTCCCGCTTCTCCCAGGGTGCCCTAATTCAGCACACCTCTTCATCATGCTTAACACCGTGTGAGAGAGTGCAGTGGGTTAGTTGCAACCTTCCCAGAGGAAGCTTGCTGCTGTTCTCCTTTAACTCCCTTTTATAGTGTCCTTATCTGTGGATCTTGTCATGTGTGTGAATCTGTAAATGCCATTCTGAGCTTTTTCCATGTCTGTAATTTTTGCTTTAGTGACACTTTTCTCTGGCTTCCTCTCTCTAGGGCAAACTACGGCTGTCTATCGTAGTAGCTTTTATTCCCTTTTTCTTCTCAAGCTTTGTATGATTTGATCTGAACTCTTCATACTGCCTTTTTAAGAACAGGTCTGTCAAAACAGAACAGAAAATTCTGCAAGCCTGGATTAACTGGATTTGAGTGCGTGTGGCATTTGCTTATCCCAAGGTGTGAATGTCCACACACAGATTGAAGTGTGTAGGTGAACGGGTCTAGCAAAAGCTCCAGAGACTTGAACTCGCAGTGCTGGAAGTTCCCACGTGGTCTGTGTGGGGAGGACATAGAACAGGCATCACAACTGGAATCTGGCCTCCATCGCAATGTACTCATTGCCCAGCAGGACTTCTAGCATCACCAGGAGCAGCGATGGGTCCTTTCCTAGTTGGAAACTACTTTCATGGTTTTCATTTGGAGCTACTTGAGTAGTTTATGATTGAACAGATTTACTGAATTGAGCATCATGGAGAGCTTTTAATTTTTCATATACCTTTTAAAGATTTTCTGTGGAGTTGTCTTTAAGAGGATAACTTTATATCTTGCTTGAAACATAAGCCTGTAGGACTTCTTTTGCTCCCATTTATCAATGGCTTTCTTAATATACAGGTATTTTTTGTTGTTACTATTATAGTAATATACCATTTAGTATAGCAAGAAACGGTTGCTCCTGTGGTAAAACTTCTTAGTATCCCTTGTCCAGTGATAATGGCAACTAACACAAACGTGTGTGAGTACTGTAATCATGTGAGCCTATTGGAAAATAGGTTGCTGCCACAGCCTGTAGTTAGTTTGCTTTGCAAGGACACTCCAAAGAAAACAGTTTTAAGTGAATTTAATTTACATAAGAAAATTCTTCAATTTACCTGAAATGGCATTCTTCATAGAAAAAATGATATTTATAAAGCATTTTTAAAAGGCATCTAACCACTCCTAAAATAAGTAATACCTTTTGGGGGAAGGGGAGGGAAGAGCAATTATAATTTAAGCTGTGATTACTGCATTTGGGATGCTTTAGAATGTAAAATTTTGGGACACTATCAGTAACTGATTTTGCCTTGCCATGAAAAAGTGCGCTGCTAATATGGACTCCATTTTTTTAAATTGCTTTTATTATTTTTAGGACTGCTAAATGCAACTGTGGTGTTTCGGTTTTAGTGGGTCATAATTACTCTGTTGGACAGAGCACGTTTTAGGAATGCAAAGCTCTGCTGTAATCCCATGAGCTCAGGGTCTGTCCAAAGGTGCACTAAAGGTGTGTGCTGCTGCTGCACCTCCATTAATTGCAGTTAGCAGAGCGAGAGAGAGCTGTTGTGAAGCCACAGGTCACCCTGCAGGAACACCCGTTCTGGCAGTGTGCTGCCTCAGGACATGACAGCGGATGTGATCCTGCACATCAGAGTCCCTCCCCATGCAGAAACACAGCTCCTAGCACCCATGTTTGTTGTGAGCGAGTGCAGGTATGAGGCTGGTAGACCAGGACAGGGAGCTGGGTCATCTAGGCTAGGTTATGCTTGCCTAGAAAGGTTGGACCAGATGATTCTTGAAGTCCTTGCCAACGTGGTATTCTGTAGTTCTGTGCTGTACCACTGGGCAATTGGGAACTAAGGAATGAATACAGCTTCCACCTCCTGCTGAGGAGCTCCTTCTGAATATGACATCATAGGTAGAGCTGAGTAACATGCAAAATCATGCATAATGCTGTACTTGATGTATATGATTATTCTGCTTGTAAACTGTTTTACAGTTCCACATGTGCTTTTCCATATTTCAGTATCATGTGCACGTTGTAACTAATATAAACAAAGCTAACAAGTTGGTGGATTTCTGTGGAGGTGCAAGAGCAGCCAACTGCTGCTTTGTTAATCCTTGTGGTATACTTCCTTTGCAGTATTTTTCCTTTGTATATTAATCTAGGCATTATGTAAATAGATGTTTGCTGTGCATCTCTTAAAGGGCAGGTGTGACTTTAAGGAGTTATCCCCAGATACTAGAACTCCTTTCTATTGCTAAAGATACTTATTTGTGGTAGTTCTTAAACCTTGTCAAATACTCAGCGGGACAATCCCTTGTTTGGGGAGTTTTGCAAGAGCAGCCAGGATAATCAGGTTAGGGGGCTAAGAGAACTGCTAGGAAGGTCAGTGTTATTTGACAGGATTAGCATGCCTAAGTTTTGCTGCTTAGTGGTTTTTGCCCTGAAACTCACGTCTCCCTCATACACCATCAGCACACTCTGCATTAGACACACCAGTGTAATTTGTCAGTGTTAATGGGTCAGTTGGGTTTACTCTACATCAATCAGTGTTTCTCTAATCATTTGCTCTGGACAAAAAATTGGAGTCCCTGGTACTTTGTATGCCAGTGAGTGGAGCTGTTGTTGGATATGAATATTAAGCAACTTGTATGGGTACCTGGGTAATAGCACTGAAAAGCTGACTCGGTGTGCTGAAACCAGGACACTCAGAAAGAGCAGTAGACAGGTAACAGCAGATGTTGGTGTAAACCCACCTTTTCTCATTTACTGTTTGCGTGTTTCTAGTGCACTGCTGAGTAACTTGTTGCTTAGGGCGGTGTTTTTGCTCCTCAGAAAACTCAATGTACAAAACCCAAAGCTGTTCTTGAGCTTCGGATGAGCATGGTCACCATGCTGCATGGATCTCGCTGCTGAACTTTCCTCACACCCTGTCCTGGGGAGGCTTGAGCTCCTCTCACAGAATGTATAAAGCAAGAGGAGGTAGATACGGACAGTCTGGATCAGCCCAGCTGGCCCAGCTCCCACTTCCCGTGCTTGGGAAGCAGGGATAGGGAAGGTCTCAGTCACTCTGTGGCAGCCTGGTGCCTTGGAGAAAATAATCTGAAATTCTTGATGGCAGAGAACTAACAAAACTGAAGGTTACCTTTCTGGAAGAGGATACCAGAATTCCCTGCAGCCCTCCCTGAGCACTCTGTGCCTTCCCTGGCTGTGGGGTGGTGGGGACATTTGGCTGGCACTTGGACTGGAGAGCACCTGGTACCGGTCGTGAGGACAGTACACACTGTCTGTGGATTCATCTCTACTGAGAACACCAGGCCTCCATGTCCTCCTCCTCCTGAAGGGACCACCCTGGTCTCCAGGCATTTCTCTCGGACTCTAAGTACAGCTCAGTTGTGCTTGTGTGCTCCCCGCTTGTCTTGCTGCTCGTTGTGGCTCACCGGTCTTTGCTTTTAGATTTGTCTTTGATGTGAGGTCTTCATGACAAACCAGGCACTACCCATTGGGTGGGACTTTTCTTCTTAGTCTTGGACTATTTCAGTGTTTTAGTAAATAACCCACACCCCTACAGGAACAGGATCCAAGGACCTGCCCAGCTTTGGGATGAGGAAAGAAGAGAAGACCACTGAACTCAGCTGGGTCCTAGCTCTGGATGCAATCTCTGTGCTTGCAAGAAGTGACAGAAACAAATGTCAGTGGGACTTTCACTGGCCCTGTTCGCACTTGGAAGCCCCTGTAAGCATCTCCAACCACTGCAACCATGTATGTCTCCTACACAGTTGCTGGAGGGTGTTCTGTATTAGCTCAGGGTGGATTAAAGGCTTTTCCATACATTGGTTGGTTGCTCCTGTACGCTTTTAGAATGCCTCCTTATTACTGGGTACAGGCACTTCAGGTTCTGCCTCGGTGGCAGCTACCACTGCTATCTTTAGCTCTGTACATGTTCTCCAGTAAATAGTTGACCCAAGCAGTTAACTCCCTCCACTAGTTCATCTTCCATTATCGTCCTCTGGAGGATTGTCCACAATTTTCTCCCTGTTGTGGGAGGTTGTTTATTTTTTCTTGACGGTTTTGAACGCATCAACTGTGGTCAGCGCTCCACCACCCCACGGTTCGGCCTCTCTCTCGGCGGCCGCGGAGGTCGCACACTCTCCTGCGCTGTCTGCCCTGAGGTCAGAGGCTGGCTGCAAGCACGGGCCGCTTCCCCCGCTCCATCCCCTGCCGTCAGCCGGGCGATGGGGGACGGCCCCGGCCCCGCAGCCACTCCTTTTTTCCGGCCCTCCGGCGCCCGAGCTCTGCCGCGGGGCTCGGGTCAGCGGCCGTTGTCCGCCCCGCCCCGGGGAGGAGGAGCTGCCGCAACCGTGGTGTTCCCCCTTCAACCACCACCGCCCTCCCGCGGCCATGGGCGAGAGCCGGGGGCGAGCGGCCCTGCAGGAGCCGGCTGGGCCGGAGCCGGTAAGGTCGGGGCGGCGAGGCTTCGCGGCAGATGTCCCGGGCGCGCAGTCGCTGCCGCGCGGCCGGGGGACCCACCGGCCGCCGGGGACAGGTGCGGTGGGCGTGCGGAAGCCAGCCGAGGGCAGCGCAGCTCTGCTCGGCGCTGTCCCGTCTTCGGCCTTGCAGGCTCCGGCCCAGCCCGGCCCGTGCCCGAGCAGCCGGCTGTAGCCGGGCGCCGCGGCCTCCGCACCGCCGGGTGCCGGGAGCTGTCGCCGCCTCCCCGGGGGGCGCGGGGCGGGCGTGCAGGGGTCCTGGCCACCCCGGCCGCCCGTGGCTCTGTGGCGCGGCTCCGTGGCGGCGGTTGCGGTGGCCCTGGGAAGGGCACGGGGCGCCCTCGCGTCCTTGTCCCGCTCCCGGGGGCCGTACCCTGCGGCGGCACCGTGGCTGCGGAGAGCACTCAGAGCTTACCTGTGATGTATGAACACAGCCGGGAGTCGGGCCCGGCCTCGGACAGGCCTGGCAGCCCTGGTGTCTGGCGCAGGGCCTGGGCAGCACAGGGCTCTGCCTCCTGGGCTCGCAGGGCTGAGCCTGCCCGGGGCTGGGGGGGCACAGCCAGTCCGCTGTACCCCGAGCTCCTGTGGGCCGGGAGGGGCTGACCCAGGGAGGTGCGTGAGCTCCTCCTGGGTGCTCCGCAGCACCAGCCTGCGAAGCCAGGCTGAGGGGTGCGAAGGTGAAGGATCTCTATAATACAAAGTCCCTCGTGATGTTCCCAAACCTTTGCGTCTCAGCAGTACTTACGTTGCCTAAATCTGGGATTTGCTGTGTTAAATACAAGCCTGAAAAAGCCCTTATTTTTTCTGTCTGTGAATAGCGATATGCTGATCACATGTATGTATGGTGAAGAGGTGCTCGCACCAGCCTGCCCAGAGGCAAGCTTTAGTGCTGTGCATCCCTTCAGCAGACAGAACCAGCAGGTGCTGTGCTCCTCAGCTGCTGTGCAGTGGAAGCTGTGTCTCCCCAGAGCACTGTGATCTTCCCAGTGTCACCAGTAGCATGGCTTGGGCTACTCAGGGCCAGCCTGAAGCCCTTGGGAGCTCATGCAGTGTACCTACTGCCTTCTTTCAGGGTGTGGAAGAGGTCACGGTCAGATACTACAACATGGTATGTGCCCCATCACAGTGCTGGCTCTGCCAGCACCTTTAGCGTTTTCCCTGGCTACAGCTGATAACCAAGATACTTGTATACACAGCCCAACAGCTATTGCTGTGAGGTGGTGGTTGTATGTGTATACATGTTAATTGCTTCCTAGTCTGCTGTGTTGAAATTAAGAGAAAGAGCTCCAGTACCACTTTTCAGTCATTGTTGTCTGTTGGGTTTATTGTCATCACCAGAAGGGTTGGTTGCAGTTGCAGAACAACTGGGATATGATGTACTGCAGTGTGTCCATCAAAGGGCTGATAGTTAAGGGATTGGAATATCTGTCATAAGAAGAGGAGCCATGAGTGCTGGGCCTGTTTAGCCTGGAGAAGAGAAGGCTCTGGGGATCTCATCAGTGTGCGTAACTACCTGGTGGAATAAAGGTGATGGAGCCAGATTGTTCTTGGTAGTACCCCATGATAAGACCAGAGGCAACAGGCACGTGCTGAAACACAGGAGATAACATTTGCATGTAAGAAGGCACTTGTTTGTTGTGAAGGGAGTCAAATACTGGCACAGGTTGCTCATGGAGGTTGTGTTAGTCTCCATCGTTGGAGATACCAAAACCTTGGCTGGATGCAGTCCCGTGCAATCTGCTCTGGCTGACCCTGCTAGATCAGGGGTAGGGCTGTGTCTGCCAGCTCCAGCTCTTTTGTGCATTTGGTTCATGTTGTCTGAACAGAAAGTAGAATGTTCACATTATAAACTGGATGTTCTTCATTATTATGTTGAGTGTTGATTGTTTTATACACCATTGTAGGAATAAGGAAAAGGTGCTGGGTGCAGACTGAAAACAGGAGGTGTGTTGATGTAGTGACTGTTACCTTCTCCAGCCATCCTTCTGCTTTCCTGGCGTGAGGGCTCTACAGAGCACACACACTGCTTCACAGGTTTTTTCTTCTCTTGCCTTTCTGTCTCGCTGTGTACTGACACTGTTTCTGGTGTGTTGACCCCTCTGTGGTCTGTAGCTGTTAAAGGCCATTGGAAACATGACAAGTGCTCCTTGGTCTCTAGTTTTCTTGCCATACTGGAACTTTACTCTTTATGTACTCTGCTTCACTTCTGGACACCAGAAGTATTTCTCAGGTTATCTCTGTGCATTATGGGCTGGGTATGCTGGCTTTTGACAGGCTTAAGAGCATCAAGGCTGAGTTAGCAACTGCTTGTACAGCTTGTGAAGCTAAAATATATACTTGGGAATAGTCCCCAGGCAGTATGGAAGGGTAAAAGGCTCAGGGTAACACTGGGCTAACAAGGAAGGCTTTTGCAGTGTTTCCTTTCCACCGATGTGGCTGGTGCAGAAGCAGATGGAGGTGCCAGCTGTGTGGCAGGCCCTGAGAAGGTGTGTGCTAAGGTGGGGAGCCCTCCCCAGCCAGCCCACATTCTCCCTTCTGGCACTTCCAGTGGGTTACTGCAACTGTCTGCGTCCCAGGAAATACGAAAGGTCTGGCACTGTCGTAGCCTTCAGCAGGGACTCAGCAAGGTGGTGCTGGGAAATCTGTCTCATGTAGTTGAGTAATATTTAAAAACGTAATAAAATGGTAAAATTGTAACCCAGAATGTGCTTCCTGATGTGTTTTCTTTAGGACTCTGCGGTACGTGTGCCAGCTATGCAAGCTGCATAGGTATTTGTGGTTTGTTTGGTTTTAAATGTGAGTAGAATTATTTGTTTGAGGGTATTTTCCAAACTGATATAAAGAATCACTTTTTATTGTGTGAGTGATTACAAGCAGACTGGGTAGGGAAAGGAGTTTGGCACCTCCTGGGAGGGTAGAAGCAATGGTAGTCAGTTGCTCCCCTTCCCTTCTGTATTGTGTGTAATACTTCATGTGGAGGTGGAGGTGGGATCTCATAACTAACACATAAAGGCATCCTGATGGCATGCAAACTTTGGTTAGCGTGAGTTGCCAGCCCTTCTCCTGACAGCTCTCCGAGGTTGTCTTCAGTAGGTGCTTGGTGACATGCCTGGCAAGGATGCTGTCTGATGTTGATCCCAGGGATGGGTCTTCCCAGCTGGAGGTGAGGTGAAGGTGCCACTTGTGGAGTGCCCTCTCCATGCTGCTCTTCACTGGCCTGTCTCCTAAACACAGCTGTGCCTGCCTCAGCCAGGCTGGTAGCTCTGTGAGGCAGAGTTGTGGTCAGGTGTTTGGCAGGAGCTTGTGCAGCGGGAGTGAGGTGGGGTGGGTGCGTCCGGGCAGGGCTTTTCCTGCTGCCTGCTGTTGGCAGGAGGGCACACAGCTTCATGTCAGCATTTAAGAGCAGCCTCCAGACCCACGCTGACTTGGGCTGCCTTCTGCTCCCCTCGGGACTGCATAGGCAGACCTCCGTGCAGACTTGCTGTGGCACAGGGCTGTTCCTCTACCAAAGGGGATTAGTTGCTGTGCTCTCATGGCATTTTAAAGTAAGTCAGTCCCTCCAGTGGCTTGATGTACAGGAAATGCTCTGGAGGTATCCTGGGGGGTGAGGCTTGCGCAGCGGTGCTGGGTGCAGGCGGGCAGCAGCAGCAGCTTGCACACACCTCCCCTGTGCCGTACTGCAGCCGCTGATGCCATCTCCTGGGCAGATTTCCTCCTTGCGCTGGAGAGACGCTTCCTCTGCACGCAGGAGCTTCCTGGCAGGGAGCAGTCGGTGGATCCAGGCAGGCAGCCCTGCTGCCCTGGCAGTGGGAGTGCGGATGGAGGGCAAGGGAGCAGGTACCCCAGGGGGGCAGGTGAGTGTCGTGTGTGACATGAGTGGCTTCTGAACCACGCCTCTGGGACATGGGGAAGAGAAGTAATAAGTAACGGCAACCTTAACAAGATCTGTGTGTGCTTCATCTTCAGAGCTCCCCTCAGAGTGCTGCTGAAAATGGCTTGGACCCTGTCGATGAGCCTCTGCTCAGAAAAAACCCACGTCGGTTTGTCATCTTCCCCATCCAGTACCCAGACATATGGAAAATGTATAAACAGGCTCAGGCCTCCTTTTGGACTGCAGAAGAGGTGAGCAGTGGGTTGGCACAAGGCACTCAAACTGGGGTCCTGGTGCATCTTTCCTAGCTCTGCTGCTGGCTCCCATGTTGTAAGGGGTTGGAGTTAATTGCCTCAAACACAAGGTGCCTCTGACAGAGCAGGACTCCCTTCACGGGCACTGGAAAAAAAGCTGCTTCCACCAGGCAACTTCAGCAGATCTGCTCTAGGTTTTTGGTTTAGCAGAGGTGTAATCGAATCCTGGGGCACTTCTCTGGTTACGGAGAGAGCTCTACGACTCTGATTTGTGGTCTAGTAGCTGCTATCCTGCTGTGGTGTCGGTGCCTGCAACAAGCTCCTTGGCTATGTAAGATCTTCTGTGTAATTTCATGTGATTGCTGGTCTTTAGTGTTAGGCACCCAGTTTCCAGAAAGTTGGTGATAATTAGGGACACTTGATAAAAATGCTTCTCACTGGTTACAGTGTTACACTGCAAGCTGTAAGTTTTTCCCAGGTTAGCCAGACCTGAGCAGTACTCAGGTTGCTACGCTTGCAGCAGAGGAAGCTTCTGGGCGTTGCACTGATCGGGAGAGGTTACCTGCCAGCTGAACTCATTCTAACTCAAGAACTTCTGCAGCCTTGTGTGTGGCCGGTGATCTGCAGTTGCAGGCAATGAACTGGAAGTACTGGTAGTCTCTAAATAGGCCAGTGTCCTGGGATGGTGAGGAGCTGCTGCCTGTAGAAGTGCTATTCCATTGCTAGCCTGGGAGGCTTGCTGCCCTGTTGCAGTAGAGGTTGATTTAAACCATAAAAGAAAAGGCATTTAAAACTCCTGCCTGATCAGCATTTTACCATATTGATGATTCCTTCTTACACTGTCCTGCCATCTGACAGTGCATTTCCCAATGAACTGGAAAGTTAACTGTAAAACCTGTTTGTGTATATGTGTTGATATGCACACCTATACGTGTACATGTTTTATACACACACACGTATACACATATATGGTTTTAGGCCTCCATATTTTTCACATCTGGCCCTACCTAACTGCTGCTGTGGTTCAGAAATCCCTCCGAACAAACAAACAGAAAAGGCTTTGCCAAGGAAGTTGCGGTTTCTGCTGTGGCTGGAGCTCAGTCTGGTAGAGGAGAGCAGTTGCACAGCATTAGCCCTGTGCCATTCTTTGGCAGGATGGAGGCTGAAAACCTGCCAAAGGCAAAGGTCCCCTCAGTCCATCGTTTGGCACACCTGGGTATGGGTTTCTTGCAGCATTAGCATTTATTTCAAGTAGAGTTAAGTGTCTCAGAATGAACTCAGCTTATTGGTGCATGTTCATACTCATGGTAAGAAGGTACTAATGCTTTTCAAAATCTGATTTATTTATAATTCAACTGACACTGATTTTTATTCTAAATTACGAAGTGTAAACTGCAAAGCAAACACATGATGTTACTGTTGCAGAGGGAGACAGCAGTACTGCTGTGTGTCTGTTGTCTTTTACAGCCACATGTATTTAAATCCTTTACATGTGAAGATTTGAGAGCAAAATCCAAAACTCTGCTGTGGTCATTTGACTAGACTGATTCTGTTCTTATAGAATGACAGACTCAAAGGGCAATAACGCTTTTCTTCTTTCATTTCATTAGGTTGATTTGTCAAAGGACCTTCCTCACTGGAACAAGCTGAAAGCAGATGAAAAATACTTTATTTCTCATGTTCTGGCATTTTTTGCAGCCAGTGATGGAATTGTAAATGAAAACCTGGTAAGGAAGCTTTAGAGAGGGCTTAAATACTGATTTTATTGGTTTATTGGCTTACTGGCTTTTAATTTTGGTTTTCTGACATTAATGCGTAAGTTTATTAAATGTGCACTTTTTTTTCTTCCCATCATCTCACCTTTGCCAAGGGGAATAAGCAGCTTGTTCCACTGGGGCCAGTGTCTGAGTTAAATTGGGCCAGCTGTGGTCAGCAAGACTCCACGTCACTCTTGGATGCAGTTTTTAAGCTCAGCCTTCTGCCTGACTGTGTTGATCCATGTTTCTCATTGAATTAATAGAATCCCACACTTCTTCCTGTATTTGTGTTGGATGAGAAGTAGGGAAGGATTGTGCTGTGCCATGGTCTGTATGCTTCATTTTGGTAAAACCCATTTGGCTCTCACTGAACAGCATCCTAAAATCTTTGAGGGCTGCAGGTGGATGATGCTAAAAAGGTAGAGAAATCTTCCTGCTGAAATCAGTTCTGCAGAATGTCTCACCACAGGTTATCAGTGGTAGCTGGCTGCAAATGCCCAGTTTAAATCTTGAATGTCTCTAATGTGTAGAATGTCATAGTATCTGCATATATTGCATGAGTGTGCCTTATACAGGTTTGGGTTTTTTTAGTGATAAACAAAAAGTCTGAGGCTTTGTTCCACAGGAAGTGATTTCTACTGCAATATTTCGCTGTTCTCCTGTGTACCTGTGCCCTCATGCTTCACTAGAGCTCTCTATCCAATATGCACAGCAGATGTATTTATTTCTAGCTAGCTTTCTTTATTTTCTTCTGCACCACACCTGTTGACATACCTGTGAATAAAGAAGGGCTGAATAGCCCCCATCCTTTCTTCAGGGTAGAGATCTATTGTCTTTGTGTGCAGTTCTGGTGTCCTCAACATAAAAAGGACATGGAACTGTTGGAACAAGTCCAGAGAAGGGCCACGAGGATGATCAGGGGACTGGAGCACCTCCTGTATGAAGACAGGCTGAGGAAGTTGGGGCTGTTCAGCCTGGAGAAGAGAAGGCTGCATGGAGACCTCATAGCAGCCTTCCAGTATCTGAAGGGGGGCTATAGGGATGCTGGGAACGGACTCTTCATTAGGGACTGTAGTGATAGGACAAGGGGCAACGGGTTAACACTTAAACAGGGGAAGTTTAGGTTGGATATAAGAAGGAAATTCTTTCCTGTTAGGGTGGTGAGGCACTGGAATGGGTTGCCCAGGGAGGTTGTGAATGCTCCATCCCTGGCAGTGTTCAAGGCCAGGTTGGACGAGGCCTTGGGTGATACGATTTAGCGTAAGGTGTCCCTGCCCATGTCAGGGGGGGTTGGAACTAGATGATCTTAAGGTCCTTTCCAACCCTAACGATTCTATGATTCTGTGATTCTAAGTTTACAGTACTGTCATGCAGAACTGGTTTTACTGTCCTCATTGCCATGCTTTCTGGTTTTGGCAGGTGGCACGTTTTAGTCAGGAAGTGCAGATCCCAGAAGCCCGTTGTTTCTACGGCTTTCAGATTCTCATTGAGAACGTTCACTCAGAGATGTACAGCTTGCTCATAGACACCTACATCAAAGATCCTGAGAAAAGGTAAACCTCTGGATGTGTTAAAGACCTTGGGGAAATCTTGTCACCTAGACTGGGGGCACGATTGCTGGGCAGTAGAAGCAAGCAGCTGCCTTCCGTTTTCATACTGACTTACTAGGGGAGTTGGGGCCAGCCCCTTAAAGCTTTCAAGACTTTCATGCCTCACCCCCAAAATACAGGGAAGTATCACCGACCAACAGACCTGTGTGGGACTGTCAGAAAGTTAGTTAATACTTGTATAAATCTTTGATTGCAGAAAGTGTGGATGATATGAAATGCTGTTAGAGTTTCCTTGTGGTTATTATGTTCCTGAGGTGCTTGCTGTCACATCAGCAAATGATCTGCCTCAGGAAATTGAGTGCTTGTGATCCAGCTGGTGTTTCTAATGTACAGTAATCAATGTTACTGCCATCCTGACAGCTTTTTTGTTGTCAGTGCTTTTTCATATGACTTGAACTGTTTAACGTATTGGATTCTTTGGAGACCCCATACCTTTGTTGTCTGTAGACCTTCCTAGTGCAAATGGTAATACATTTGAAAAGAAGCACTTTCCCTCAGAGACTCCACAGTGCTGATGGTCAGGCAGAGCTTGGTATCCCACGGTAGCATCCTGTGTGGTAACAGTGCGAGGACTGCAAGGTTTCATTTCAGGTGTTTAGCATGGTAACAGAGCCTGTGCTCATGGGAATTGTCCAGTTCCTTTTGTGGAGTTGTGCAAGATGAGGTTTAGCTCTGTGGGTAGGAAGTAGCTGCCGTCTGGCTTGGAGTCCGGTGGGTGGTCTGGTGAGTGGTCACTCCTGGGTCTGACTTCATTTCCCATCTCTGCAGCTCACCTCCTCTTGAGACCTTGGTATTGTTGCTTTCTGCACATCTGCCTCCTTGTGCCCTTGTTATCAAAGATCATGTTGTGGTTTAACCCGACAGGCAGCAAAACCACACAGGCGCTTGCTCCTTCCCTCCCCCTCCACTTGTTGAGATCCAGACAGTTTAATGGGACAGAAAAGGAATGGAAAATAACAACAATGGTGATAAAAGAATTAGAATATGCAAAACCTGTGATGCACAATGCGATTGCTCGCCTCTGGCTGACCGATGCCCAGCCAGTTCCTGAGCAGTGGCCCTTGGCCAGCTTTCCCCTAGTGAATATACTGAGCATGGCGTCATATGGTATGGAATATCCTTTTGGCCAGTTTGGGTCAGCTTCCTGGCTGTGTCTCCTCCCAGCTTCTTGTGCCCTCAGCCTACTTGCTGGTGGGGTGGTGTGAGAAGATGAAAAGTCCTTGACTTAGTATAAGCACTGCTCAGCAACAACTAAAACGTCAGTGTGTTATCAACATTATTCTCACCCTAAATCCAAAACACAGCACCGTACTAGCTACTGGGAAGAAAATTAACTCTTTCCCAGACAAAACCAGGCCAGATGATTGTCCCTTGTGAGTCCCAAGTCTCTTATTTGGATTAGTTCAGAGCCTGGCATAATGGGTTCCTCTGGTGGAGCCAGTGTGGACAGCCAGGGCAGATTTACATCAGTCACTTTTTATTATATTGATGTTTTCTATTTCTTTTCTTTTATAGGGATTACTTATTTAATGCTGTTGAAACAATGCCTTGTGTCAAGAAGAAAGCAGACTGGGCTCTGAAGTGGATTGATGACAGAGAATCCACTTTTGGTATGTAGCTTCTTAAAAATTTGTTCCTGTCACATGTCACAAACTAATCCTCTGGAAGTGAGCTGCATCCCTGGAACATGAAATAAATTCTCCACAGATGATGTAGTGGCTTCTGGCTCTCTGATTTAGCTAAAGAATTAGAAGTAACTTTTGCTGAGCATGTATATTTATATCTTCAGCTAAAGCAATATTGTAATGTCAGTGCCCACTAGAATCATGTTATGCGAACTGCTTGTAGACTTCTCTGTCTTTGTCTTTATGCTACTTTCCTCAGGTTTTGCTTGTAGACCTTATTTAGAATCATAGAATAGTTAGGGTTGGAAAGGACCTTAAGATCATCTAGGTCCAACCCCCCTGCCGTGGGCAGGGACCCCTTATGCTAAATCATATCACCCAAGGCCTCATCCAACCTGGTCTTGAACACTGCCAGGGATGGAGCATTCACAGCCTCCCTGGGCAACCCATTCCAGTGCCTCACCACCCTGGAGTGGTGAGTTTCTAGGGGTTTCACTTATTTCTTTCAGTTGGCTCCTAGTGTGCAGAACTGGGCAGCTGAAGTCCAAGCTTTTTCTGTGTTCATGTTTATACAGACAAATGTATGTAGTTAGCCATTTTTGTAACAGCGTGACTGAGTCTGAGTGAAAAAGGTTCAAAAATCATCTGTCTCTGGTGTTTCTGGTTTGCTGTTGGGACCGGGTTTCTACTTTTTGTATCTCATTTCAGAGCTGGGACACTGGCTGATCTTCCATCAGCATAATGCAGAGCGTCCTTTCCAGTGTTGCATTCAGTTGCATTCAGCTTACAATGTTGACTCTGAAAGACGTATTGTAGCTGAAATGCATAATGAGCAGAGTCTGGTGAAGTTTTTAAACCAAACAGAGAAAGTGTAGGAGATGGAGAGATTCATCCAGACAAACAAAATAAATCTGAATATCATTTTTTTGCATCATCTGTTGTTCACAGCTCATTTTTGAGTGGAGTTCTTTCTGTAGCTGTAGATCCTCCTGTCCTGGAGTGTCCCACTACCTCCCTAGTCTGGCTTTGCTTGCTGTGTATGATGGCATCTCTTCTTCATCTCCTTCATTTTGCTCCCAGCAGCATGGGGTGTGCTAGGAATCAGTAGGTTCCCTAACTCAAAAGGCAATGTTCCCTCGGTGCCTTCAAACTTCATGCATCCTATCCAAATTTTTGTAAGGTGCATTTTTCCTCTTCTCTTTTTTAATCTTACTGAGAAAACTTCCCAGATTTAAAACATTTGTGAGGCCCAGGTCTTACAGTTATGGATATATCATACGGAGATATGGCATATGGAAGTGGCTGAGTGGCTTGTTTGCGTGGTGTTTCCTTACAGCTTGGGGACCTGCCCTGTAGCCAGGTCTCCACAGTTTGATTGATTTCTTATGCTGAGGTTTCAGTTGTTGTACCTGTTCTGTGGTCTCCCACTGTGCACTCACATTATGTGGTGCTGCTGATTGGTGATTTTTGGTTCAGCGTAACTCATTTGTATGATAGCTAGTTAGGTGGAATGTACTAAAAATCTTATTGATATTCAGTCTTGTCCTTCACTGAATCTATATAGTATGAGCAGCTTTGCTCCATTCCTCTCTAGAAGTAACCTAGGAGATTTTTAGTGTTGCCCGACAAATTCTTTCCTTAGTAACTTCTTGATACAGTTTGTATTGCTCTTCATGCTTTTTCCTGACTTGAATTTCCTCAGATGAGCCAGTAGATGGCATTTGCATCTCGTAGGAGAAGTAGAACATGTGGCTGTTACGAGGTGTTTTTTTTTTTAAAGAAAATTCTATGCAGTTCTTACTGTGAAAAGGCACCAGCACTTAATGCATAAGCTTTCATGTTAGAATTTATCCAAGGCTCTTGTGAAGTTGTTAAAAATAGAGTACATGGAATGATGTGTCTTTACTAGGCAGTCAGATGGTTTTAAGAGTCTGAAGAAATACATTCCTGTAGAAAACAGGGAGAACTGGGACCAATAGTTCATCCTTGGATGAAAGGTGGGATAATGTAAGTAGTTATTTGTGTCTTGATGAATTACATTATGTGTATTGCACTCTTACAAGAATATGGTTTTATGTAGATTCTCAACAAGTAGGGCTTTTAGTTTAATTTATAGGAGATCAGCTCTTCTCTTGGTTTTGTCTATTAATTACACATCCATTTTCCTGCCTTTTAGGAGAAAGAGATAAAGAAGTACCAATGTCCTGCCCACTTTGGATAGATATGTTCTTTCCCTTCTGACCTGTGACAGTTTCAGTGGGTGCTCTGGTTCTTCAGTTCTGCTGGCATTGCCTGTGGTTAAGTGCTGTTGTGCGTGTAGACCCCATGTGCCTCGAGATCTGCTGAAAGATGTGGTCAAATACAGCACCTGGTGCTGCAGAGGGGATTGCTTCTCTCCAGCATCTGTCTGTCTGATGCAAATAGTGCATCTTGCTGACAAGCAATACACTGTTTTGTGTCTAACTGAAAATGTGTTCTGTTAAACAGGTGAGAGAGTGGTTGCCTTTGCTGCTGTTGAAGGCATCTTCTTTTCGGGTTCCTTTGCTGCTATATTTTGGCTGAAGAAGAGGGGCCTGATGCCAGGGCTGACTTTCTCCAATGAACTTATTAGCAGAGATGAGGTAATGTATGTAATATCTTACATACTGTCTGGGAGGAAAGGTGGGTTTCCAGGGGAAAGGCAGAATTATATTAATGAAGATGCTATGTTCCTCAGCAGCAATGCCTGTTTTTAAAGGGAATAAACATAAATATTAGCTATACTGTTATGCTTAGTATGACTTAAGTATGACTTAAAAGGTGGACATTTTTGATTGAAGGGGACATTTGTTTTCCTGTGCCTGGCTGCCCAAAGACTGGCGTGGAGTTGCATGGTTTCCAGCTGCAGCGTTGGCTCTCTTGAGCAAGGACCTCACTAGGACATGTGTGAGCCTTGCTGTACACCTTTAGTCAGGTCCAAGTGGTCTCCTTGTACCACTCCCCATTACAGCCCCTAGCTGTGCGTCCCAGAGCTTGCAGATGGTCGCCTGCATCCATTGCCTGGCTAGCTGTGTTAGGGTGCTGCGTAAGCAGCAGACACCATTCCTCTCCATGTTCTGGTGTTACTGCACAGCAGTAGAACTTCCTGGGTGTGGGCAGCTACAGATCTGCATTAGAGGTGAGTGCTTCTTAGCTTAAGATGTGATGTATCTGAGGGGATGCACATTGAATGTGTCAGGCCATGTGGTGACAAGTGCCTTTGCTTTTCACTGCTTCCTGCACTGCTGCCTGCCAGTTGGCAGCAGTTGCTTATGGTTGGGGCCCGTCTTTGAGGTACCACACATCTTATGGTGCTGGCAGTACTAAAGAAGCGGAAGGACCAGTTTTGTATGCAGTATAAAAAGCTAGTGGTTTGAATTTACCAGAGTTGGTCTAAAAGAATAGAGATCTTTATCATAATGTAAGTAATTTCCATGTATTAGGTAAACTAGTTTGAAAAGAGGCATCTTGCAAGATGCCTTTAATTTAAAAGACACTTTGGAAGAAATTGATATGATCAGTAAGCAAAACAGTTCTTCAGCCTTGGCCTTCTTTGTGTCTTTTGTTCCTGTGAGTCATCGTGAACTGATGTATTCAAGTGAAGTATATTTGTCAGAAGGGTCACTCTCAGGTGAATGAGATTTAAGTTCCTCCATACAGCAGTGTAACTGTACTTTGCAGAGTTGAGCACCAAAAGACTGATTTTTTTTCTTGAGCCCCACTGGCATAATTCAAGCTGCAGAGCTGTTGCGAAATGTAAGGCTTGGTGCACACAGCACCTGCACCAAAAACCAGGAAATACTGTTACAGAAGCAGTGGCAGTAAAAAGAATCCGCAGTGGAAAAGTACAGAAACTCTTTTCTGATGCACCTGAACAGATAAATCGTTGGTGCTTAATGTTTTTTGAGCTGTAGGCTCTGTTCTCAGGCTGTTTTTTGAGCTGGTGCAATTCTGATTCTTAAAGGTGCAAAGCTGGTGGGAGCACCAGTCAGGGCAGCACGCCACTTCAGGGAGAAGCCAGGCACATCCTGCAGCCTGCTGGTGATGTTGCCCTGAACAAGACCACAGAACCCTGCAGCAGGCACCTAGTGCTGTCCCTAGAGGAGGAGTATTTCCCAAATTACGTTATTTCAGGGCTGTTTCATGACCTGAATCTCAAGGATTTTGTGGCCTTTCTGAAAAACATTTTGCTTCTTGGATTTGTTTTGCCTGTTGTTAACAATAGCAGAGGGCTGTCTCATAGCCCACCGTCCACCAAATCCTTCTGATGGGTTTTCACTCTGGATGTGCCCTAATGGTCCATATAGGCTGTAATCACCACCTTGCTGTCAGGAGGAGAGGCAGTAGCACAGTGCTGCTTTAGTCTAGCAGCAGTAGGCATGGCTGATGCCAGAGTCTCAAGCTGTAGCCAGTCAAAGTGGAGGCACCTCTTAGAGCAGCTGTCTGGGATCCCCCTCAGACTGTGAGGAATTGCTCATCTTTCCTGATGTTGTCTTGTCCTGGCTGGAGGCTTTTCTGGAAGTCTTGGGAAGCTTGGGAATGAGCAGAGTTTACTGGCCTTGTGCAGGATAGCGGCGTGGATGTGAGGGTGGGTTGAGTTGGGCACAGTAGTCTTAAGTATTAAAAATCTATGCATGTTGTGGTAGCGAATTCCTCACAGTAACTGCACATTGTGTGGAGAGACTTGTTCTTGGGTTTTGTGACTCTAATTTAAATCTTTCTTTCTGAAAATGCTGTGACGAGAAGCAAGGGAAGAATGCTATTGAAGGAGCTTAAACCAAGTATTTCTGTACAGGTATCTCCAAGTGGAGAGCAGGTAAACAGTCTACCTTAACTGGCAGGTAGTTTTGCAGATCTTGATGTAGGAGATTTTCTGCAGAAGCATCTCTGGTGGAAGGCAGGGACCCAGCAGGGCTCTGTTAAGGATCACTCGCAGTAGAGCAGCTCTCAAAAATATTTACCTGAGAAATATGTATGCTGAGCATTATTTTGGCATAGATGGCACATGTTGGATTTCAGATGTTATTAACTGGGTTATAAACTAAAAGTGCCTGCTACGTGTGCTAACATGAAGCTTCCTAGCCTCCTGCTTGACAGTCTTTAACCTGAATGAAGCGGCTTCAAAGAGCAAACTATGTGAAGGAAGGAAAACCTGACTTTTTTTTCTCATGTTCTCTGTTACTTCAGGGTCTACACTGTGATTTTGCTTGTCTCATGTTCCATTATTTAGTGAACAGGCCATCAGAAGAGCGGGTCCGTGAGATCATCGTTAATGCTGTTGAAATCGAGCAGGTAAGCCTGGCCGTGACAGCATCGTGGGCACTGCAGGATCAGTCTTGTGTGCATAAATAAATTGAAACTTGGCTCAGCCCTGGATCCGTGATGCATTATATTATCCTTTCTCTCTTCCTTGATGGTGACAATAAGAATCAGAGACTTCCTGATTCAGTTGTCAATCAACTGGGAGAAGCTGAAGCTGGCAGCTGGTTTCCTCCAGTAAGAAAGGCTGTCTTCTTTAGGATAGGATAGGGTAGGTTAGAATAGTTCCAGTTGGAAAATACTTACAACAACCATGTAGTCCAGCCACAAGGGTCACTTAGAGAAGTGTTTGTTACCTCTGTCCTTTCAGGATCTTTGTCTCTCCCTACTGTATGCACATCCCCGCCTGTCCTCAGGCGAAGACAGGGTCTGCTGTGGCCACAAGTACTATGCTGAGTTCTGAGGCTGCTGTCAGGTTGTTTCACACGAGCTGCTACCCATTTGCAACTACAAGTTTCTGCGCTGCTACGTGTTTGGCGGGATTGTAGTTTACTGTTTCTTTTCTGTTGTTATTTAACTACTGTGATGATGACAGATGCCCTGGCTTTGCCTCACTGATAGGTATTGCACTGGTGCCTAAGTATGTACGTGGCTGTGTTCAGCACTTACATAAATCACTGTCCTCTCTGATCTGTTGTTCCATAATGGCTGGAAGCCAAGGAAAACAGTAGTTTTCTGGATCTATTCCTGCTTCCTTTAGTATGGTCTGTAGGTTTTATGGAAGTTGGAGTTCAGGTGTACAGTGAAGCTTGGGTTCGTACAGGGAGGAGGGGGAAGGCAGATGAGAGGGGCAGTAATAAAAATTCTTGTGCCTTTTCCAGAAAAATGTGCTAAAAATAAAGGAAGGTACAAACAACTACTGGAAGCAGAAGACACTTGTTGAGTTTAATGATACAAGTTATTTATTCAGACAAGTGCCTGAGGAGCCTGGAATATCACAAATCATGTTACCGTGAAACACAGGTGTCTTCTCTCCCTTTTCCTTCTTAAATTTCATTTCTCTAAATGTTGCCTATATTTTAACTTGTAGGAGTTTCTAACAGAGGCATTACCTGTAGGTCTGATCGGAATGAATTGCACTTTGATGAAACAATATATTGAATTTGTTGCAGACCGGTTACTGATGGAGCTTGGGTTCTCAAAGGTAAGAGATGCATTTGCCTGAAGTGCTGGCCTGCCCTGGTAGCCCAGGAAAGCTGTCGGCACAAAGCACTCTTGATGTGCCTGGGAGCAGGTCATATTTAGTGCTTCCACTTTCTGTGAGTGACAGCTGAAACCACAGCACTAATGTATATCCTTCACTGTTTAAAGGAGCAAGAACAATTTATGCCATTGTTTCCCTTCAGCTGCTCTGCAAGTTTGTAATGGGAAGCTTGTGCTGTGCTCAAGCTCTGTGGTCCTCCAAGGGTAGTAAGCACCTTGCACTGGTGAGCTTCACCACAGACCAAACTCCTGAGGAGTGACAGTACTGAATTTGCTTAGATAGAGGTCCATAGATCCTACAGCATATTGCAGCAAGGGATGAGCTAGTTTGAAAGGGTTTGACTGTTTTGTTTGTTGAAGTTTTTTAAAGCACTGTTACCCTTTCAGAATCACCAGGGTAATGGTGTTTCCCTTTCACAGGCCTTTCATGCAGAAAATCCTTTTGATTTCATGGAAAATATTTCTCTGGAAGGAAAAACAAATTTCTTTGAGAAGCGGGTTTCAGAATATCAACGTTTTGCTGTTATGGCAGAAACAATGGACAATGTCTTCACTCTGGATGCGGATTTTTGATGACTTGGCAAATGAACAGTGACTGTTGCCCTCTGCCCATTTCAGTTTATGCTGTGAAGTTGTCTCCGTTTTCTCTCCTGGAATTGAAGTCTACTGTTTTTTTTTTTTCCTGGGTTTTCATGTTGTTTGCCAGAGAAGTAAATATATTTCTCTATTTAAGGAAAAAAAGGGGGGGGTGTCCTTTTTATATGGCTTTTTAGGAGGATTGCCTTTTGAAGATTCCCTTGATTCATCTGCTGTGATTGCTGTCTTTAAAAATCACCTGGATACAGCTACTTTTTAAAGACTTCGGTAGTACTTTAAGAAAGCAAACTGTGTATTTACCTCATGTTATGGGATTTTAATCTGAAAACCAGATAAGGTAGCACTCTGTATATATGTTGTTATAAATGATTTTCATGGTTTCTATTTTCATGTTTATAGAGTTGGTTTAGAATAAAAGCTCTTCCCTTTCATCTTGCTGTAGATAGAGTAATAAGTGATTGTGGGAAGATATAACCTGTGTACTATAAAATCTTGCTAAATCCAGGGATACACTTTGATCTTCCCATTAACTTGGGTTCTGTCTGGAAATGTTTTACTCTGGTTGCAAAACCGATGGCTGCTGGTGGGAGTTTAAATCAAATACATACGATTTTTGTCTTACAGCTGTTACTGAGCAGGTCAGTGGTCTTTGAATGCTCCTTGAAAAGGCAAGCCTGTTAATAGAGGAGAAAACACACATCCTGTATGTCTTTGTCTTGTGCTCCTTGTTTTTCCATGCTTCTCTGAACAAGTGCCTTATTAAGCAGTCTGTAGTTGTGCTGAGTTGCAATCAGCATCCAACACTGGAACAGCCAGCTCTGGGTGTGGTCTGTCTTCCCTTTGTCATGCTGGGTGGTTTAATATTTTCCCCTTCTCTGTTTCCCTTGTGCATTGATGGGGTGAGAAGGCATATTGTTCCAAAGAATTATCCCTGGAGGTGCTACAAACGTACTGCTTAGGCTGTAAGGAAGCACCAGTAATGTGTGAAGGTACTTCAAGTTGTGTGTTTAATGTGAACCATTGAAACCATCACAGAATCGATTCTGGAGGAAGGCATTAAACCTTTTAAAACCAAATCTTGAAGTAGTGTGGATCAGCAGCATCTCACAGAGGACTGCTCTTTGGGTTTTGGTGTGTTCCAGTGTGTGTCTGGAAGTTGCTCAAGTTCTTTGATGTCACATGCAGCAAATGAATCAATGGAGTAATGGCAAGCATGCTGCAGGGGTACTTGGGATGGAAGAGATACTATTCAGTTGTAGGTGGGTTACTTGCAAATAGATATGTTCTTTTTGCTGAAGTGAGTGCACATGAGCTGGACAAAGGGTTCTTCATTAAACCCAAGCATTTTTTCATAATGTTCAGCAATTTGTATAAGAGCTTTTATAAGTCTTTCTTATTGTTGCAAACATCTTGTTCTGCTTTCAATACGCCTGCCATGAGATGAGCTGACGGCCCAGGGTTATTGGTGATGGGGTGGTAGGGGTGTTATTTCCCTGCCAGCCCACATCAGGCATAGCCCTGGGTACTTGAGTTCCAGGAAACAGGTCCACTGCTTTAGCATAGTTCCTAGTGAACAGTTGTCCCTGGTGTAAAAATAAGCAGCAGAACTGACTCTTTTTGTTTGGTCTCAGTAAAAGATTGTATGTAATGGGCACGGAAACAGGACGGCTATCTTGCCTACAGAAGTGCCTGCTTCATTTGACATAAGGTACTTAGGGAGGGCAGAGGGGATCTTGGAGAATACAGAGAAAAGCTGGGATTGATGTCCCTCACTAGTGCCCTGCAACTGCAAGAGAACTATGGGCTTGGGAAGAAAATCCAGCACCTTTTGGAAATACTGTGGTACTGGGGGAAAAAGAGAAAATTTTGTTAAATGGGTCTGTTATCTGAGGAATGGAACCTATTTTTATGTCACTAAAACTGTGAAAAAGCGTTTGTTTTGAGTATTGTGAATTAGGAAGAGAGTGTACAGAATATACAAGTATGAAACTGCTATGTGCTCAGGTTTTGTAAATGCAGAGGAGATGCCAAAGTCTGGTACAGCAGCTCCCGTTTGTGTGTATAATACGTGTACAGTTTCAATAAAACTTGAATGTGGAGAGGAGCATGCCTTTGTTTGTTGTTACATGCTCTATCGTGAGATATCCAAAATGATGAAACTGGGCCATGCCAGAGTAAATTGGTGTTTACAGCTTTTGGGTCGCGGGAGAGAGTTAAGAGTGCTCCATACGCTGTCTTGCACTTAGTGAGCTCTCAGCTTGCTGGGTTTTGTTCTCAGAAATGGTGTTTGCAGTTTAGGGAGCAAACAAATACTTTTTTTCTGGAATCTTCTGGCTCAAGGAGAAATTTCCTGGGAGTCCCTTAGGTTCAAAGAAGAAACACTCCAGTAATGTAATTTTGGTGGGTGGTAACTGATCTGTCTAGGGCATCGTGCCCTTGCATTGGGCATTCTGACTGTGCCTGGGCCCCACAGTGTAGGGTTCAGCCCCAGGCATGCCTGCAGCCCAGCCTTAGGCACCACAGTCTGTGCTGGCTGAGGTTCATACAAGATGGTGTCCTCGAGGGTGTCAAGTCAAAAGTCTTGTCCCTGCTGCCCCTTTGTGACTCCTTGAGACAGGCATGCAGGGCATAAGGTTCACTCTGCTCCAGTGCTGGGTTTGGGCAGAATCTTTGTGCTCCTGAGGGTTCTGGTGCACAAGCTGGGTCTGGCTCTGTGTATCTCACACTGTGGCCATCATGCTTCAAAAAGACTGATTCTCATTCAAGCGGATGCATGGGTCCTACTGAACCCTTGACTTGATGTCATGGGTGGACAGTGTGCGCCCAGCCCTGCTCTCTGATCGTAAAACCACTGTGGAGTGCAGTGTATTAGTGACTATTCCCAGACCTTGCTGGGAAAGTGAAGAAAGTGGGTGAAGACAGGGCAGTTAGCAAGCTCACTCTCAGTGTTTCTTGGCAGCCTGGAGGCCCTGTTTCTGGGCTGGTGAGATTTAGCAGCAGACGAGGACACGGTGTGTGGCAGCACATCTGGAGCAAGCCCCTGGCCAGCTGACACTCCGCCACGTTCCTCCTCCTTGCCTTTGAGCGTTGTTAAACCCCAAGTGTGGCCTCCCTGCCAGTCACCCCCAACCTGGCAGGGGAGCGCCTCCCGTCAGCCCTTCCGAGGGAATGAACCGGGCTGGATTTCCTCCTGGTGGAGCCCTTGAGTCAGTAAGTGTTAATGCTCTGTCACCGTGCTCTCTAGAGCTCCTTCTGGGAGGGAAGCAGCCACCGGAGGCGCTGATGTGTTAACGTTACGTGTGGCAGAGGATGTGTTTGCCAGGAGGACGGTGGTGGGGCCGGGGGGCCCTGCGCTCCGCAGGAATACACGTGTGTGGGTAAACTGTATGTATGTGCGCACTGAGGGACACGGCTGGTGCGCACAGAGTGCGCGCTACACGTAGGCAACAGCGGAGCTGAGGGGAGAAAGAAGGCTTTGAACGTCAGGTTTTAGCAATACTTTCCCCGGAGCAGAAGGGTAAGATGGGCACTGTAGTACTGCTATTGGGAGCTGCTCTTCCTGGTTTGCAGGCAGCTGCCTGCCCTGCTCCTCGCACCTGGGCACAGGTAATGGCAACGGCACAGTCAGAAGCTTCTCCTGTTTCCACTGGCTCTAGGGCTGAAGGCTGCCCAAGCTGTGAGGCTAGAGCTGTACTCTGCTAACCAAAATCTTAAACTAAGGATTTTCATCTTAAAGTAAATACAGTTAAATCTCAGTGTGGAGCACGCGTGCCTGCTTTGGAGAACAGTAACTTTGGCCTTTGGCTGGTTGTGTGTAGCCACATGGACAGGATCAGGAATTCCCTGTTGCATTTTGGTGCTTCTAATGAAATCAAAGAGGATTTCTGAGTGACAGACATAAGATTTCAATGATGGGCAGTGGTGCTTCCAATATCGCAGCTTCTTGTGGAGCTCTGCTGACCAGGGGCTCCTGCAACGCTGATCCTTATTCCCAAATCTGCTTAAAGGGCTTACCCAGGAAATGTCCTGCCGCAGGACTGCTATTGCTTTGCCTGCACCATTCATCACTGCATTGGCTCTCGTGTAGGAAGTGGCAGGTTTGCAGGGACAAATCCTTATCAATCCTTTTTTTTTTTTTTTGCTGTAGTACAGTTTGGTTAATGTCACTCTGGGAACGGCCCTGGGTAACTGCTGCAGCATCTTTAATAAGCTGGTGGTACAAGAGGAGCTGTCACAGTGAGCTGCATGGATCAGCCTGGCATCAGGGATGAGGTGTTGACTCCTGCTATGGAGATGCCTGTTTTCTTAGGGAATGCCTCTCGCTGCAGAGGCATGGAGGAGGTCATCAACCAATGCTGAAAAGGGATGAACAGACTGATGAAAAGACAGTATTTTGGGTACTTCCATGGCTTTGGCTCCTGTCCTCTGGTGCCCAGTGAATGTCAGAAAAAGCCGAACCAGGCGCAGTGACTGCTGATGGCTTGCTAGGGGATCTGCTCAAAGCCTGTCCCTGCAAGCCCCTCCTAAACATCACGCCACAACTCCTACTCGGTAGCTACACAGAGAGATGGAGCTGCTGGGATGCTGTAAGCAGCTCTGCACGGCTGCCTCTCTGCCCACTCTGTGCTATGGCTGCTGTGGTGATGCTGTGACCTTTGAGCTGCGGCTCAGGCTGAAGCCCTGCCCTGCAGGGAGCCCTGTGTGCAGCACAGTGCCTGGTGAAAGGTGTGTGGTGGAGGGCAGGGCTGACAAACTGGGGGCAGGCACTGACAAGAACCATGTTTGCCTGCTCTGGCCTGGGCTCAGAGCAGGCTGTGCTCATGTGGCTGGGGTGGTTTGGGAAGCTTTGTTTTCAAGCCCCCCAGACAAGGTCGTGTCTCAGGTTGCTCCTTTTCCTTACTGTTTATATTCCCTGTGAGGGTGCTGAGGCACTGGCACAGGTTGCCCAGAGAAGCTGTGGCTGCCCCATCCCTGGCAGTGTTCAAGGCCAGGCTGGATGGGGCTTGGAGCAGCCTGCTGTAGTGGAAGGTGTCCCTGCTCATGTCAGGGGTTGGATGTAGATGATCTTCAAGGTCCCTTCCAGCCCAAACCATCTCTGTCTCTATGACTTCTAGTGAGGAAGTTCCCAAAATCTCCTGCAGATTCTGGGCAAATGGCTGAGTACTTGATGTGATTTTGTTTTTCTTGTCAGTTTGCAGATCCAGGAGGAGTGTTAAGAACAAGACTCAATGTGCAAATAGTTTCTACTCATCTGATGAAAGCCTCTGGCACCGCTACCTAACTTGAACTTGAGAACTGTAGGAAAACTTTGGCTGCTTATTGCTGTTTCCTAGCCCATGGACATGGTTCTGAAGAGAGTACACTCAGGGGTTTTTACAGGGAAACACTAGAATCCTTTCAACAGCCAGTGACCTCGCAGTGCAGGAGGTCGCTTGGGCTCCCCACCTGTGCTATGTCTGCAGGTCTGTTACCAAGTGGCCTGTCCAGGGCCTGTTGTGTGCTGATGGTGACCTTCACTGCTCTCTGCCATAGGGGGTCTCTGCAGTGGGATCAGAGCGTGCTGTTCCACTGCTTGCACTGGCAGTTTTGAATGATTAGTTGAAGGCAGACTGATGTGGCACATCTGCCATCTCCCAGCAACACCTAGGGAAGGTCTGGGGGCTCCTGAAGGCAGTGATATGCAGGAAAAGTGTGACAGGCAAAAGAGGTGTTGGTGACAGTGGGAGTGACAGCCTGTTCACTCCTCACTGCTTAGATACCAGCAGCTGTGTGACAAAAGAGATCATCATACACAGACTCATGCGGTCACTTGTGTCCTGCAGTCACTTTCTTGGTGGCCCAATGGTGAACAGCACAAACATCAGCTAATAAATATTCAATAATCGTACTGAATAGCGACAGTAGTGCTACCATCTGCTCCATTGGAAATCATGGCAGAAGCAGCTATGGGGGGCTGGAAAATCACTAGATTTGGAAAGATTTACAGCCAGTGTTAAACCTGAGGAGCCTGGAGCAGACCTGGGGGCGGTTGAGCCCTGGGAGTTTCAGCCCCATTGTGGCTGTTGTGACTCTGCAACTTGGCAGTGGCAATAACAAAAGCCTCAGGAAAGGGGGGAGGATTCTTTGAAATAAATCTCAGCTGGTGAGTTCCTGCTGTCTAGCTAGCTACAGAGGAGGGTTTCCATTCATGAATTTAAACCAGGTTAGTGAGTAGAGGCTGTTCAGATCTTGGTTGCGGGGTCCCACAGCATCACAGCATCATAAAACCCGTGGTGCAAGGAAGTACCAGTTTAGAGCTATAATAGTATTTCTTCCACATCAGCAGCTTGCCTATCAGTTATCGATTTCCTTTTTCTTTCAGTGTGAAGGGAAACAGAGTTAAATTACAGCCTATTAGGCTGGCTGGAGAACTGAATGTGTTCACTGAATAACTTCATTCATAGCATGTGTAATTGCCTTCTTCAGAGATGGGTATTATGATAAGCCCTGGCAGAGCTGCCTCGCCTGCTGTACCCTCTGCCTCCTGTTTACTCAACCCTCCACAGGCAAATGGGACCATATGTGGAGGGGGCTGAAACTACTACATCCTATAGCCGCTACTGTATGTGCCGCATGTTTGGATGAACACCTTGGAAGAAGCATTTCTTGGTTTGTTTCTCCAAGACTCCTGTTCTTAAAAGCCCCTTGTATGCAGTCACACCAGTCATGCTTAACTTCTCTTGCTAGCTGAGCAGGGCGTAGGGCCCAAAAATGTTTTCCCAGCTTCTCCAACACTTGAACAGGCTTTCGGGGTGAAGTGAGGATGTCTCCTGCCTTTGGAGCCACCTTTAAAAGGATGGCAGATGGCTGATGCCCCAAGCGCTGTGGCTGTGCAGAGGTGTGAGCTGCTGAGGCTTCCTCCTGAGCTATAAGGCAACAGTCACATCCATGGGATGCACATCCTGCAACCAATTTAGTCAGGATGCTTTATGGCTCCCAGTAGGCTGCTGAGGCCAGGCAAAAGACATGGGGAAACACTGCGTGCAGCTGCTGAGGTAAATGCAGATGTTTTCACACTAGAATGTGGCCTATTGCAATGTCCATCTGCAACACAAAATCACTGCA